TATCTATCTATCTATATCTGTGGTTCTGGGATTGAACCCAGGGATGCTTTACCACTGAGATACATTTCCAGCCCTTTTTATTTTGAGACAGAGTCTTGCTAAGTTGCCCAGGCTGGCCTCAAACTTGCCATCCTTCTCCTTCAGCCTCCTGAGTAGTTGGGATTATAGGCATGTGCTGCCATGTCCAGCAAGAGTTCTAATTTTTAAATTTAGCTTCCTCATATCTCACAAATGGAAGAGGTCAGAGATAGAACTAAATATATTACTTAATCTAGATAATAGTACTACCTATTGATAAGAGTAATAGCAGCTCATTTGCTTTGAGGTGTTTTCTAAATTTGTACTTGTTCATCTAACTGCCCTCCCAAAACTTTATTATGATTTGTAACATTCACAAAAGCAGAAAAAAATAGTATAATGAACTTCTTGAACCCATTACTAAACTTCAACAGTATCCAACATTTGCCAGCTTGGTTTCCTTTATTCTCTTATTGTCTCTGTCCTCCCGTTAAATATTTCACCTAGCTGTTTTATTAAGAACAAGTCTATGTAAGACATCCTCTGACCTTTTTACTGGTGTATTAGTTTTATAATAATAAAACTACCAACCAACCTCTCTAGTCTTCCCAGAAGTAAAGCTAAAACAATAAATAAAATTAAAATTAAAAAGTAAAGCACCGGGGCTGGGGTTGTGGCTCTGTGGTAGAGCGCTTGCCTCGCACATATTGAACCCCTCGCACAGGGTTCAATCCTCAGCACCACATAAAAAAAATTAAATAAGATAAAGATATTGTGCCCATGTATAACTAAAAATATATTTTAAAAAAAGTAAAGCACCTATTCCCCCAGAAGAACAATGACTAAAAAAGTTATGGCTAAATTCCAGACTATCTAAATCAAAGGGCTCACCCATTATCTTGCTTGGAAGGCTTTGGAGAAGTGGGTTGTGGCCACAAAACTTAGGTACAATCTGTTTTTACTTGTTTGCACTTGTTTGAACTTCTGAGTTAATTTAATCCAATAAGTATTTACTGATTATCTTCTAAATATGAGAGGCACTATTAAGATGCCAGAAGATAAAAAAAACCCAGCCTTTGTTCTAAAGGAAATCACAGGGCGGCAAGAAAGAGCAGTACACAAATAACTAAAATATAAGGCAGATATGTTCTTTGCCTTAAGAAAGATGAAACAAACCAAGGGCAAAAATTCCTCTTTTTAATCCACCTACAGAATTTGTAGCCCTCAGGGCATAAACCTGTCTATATTTATTGCTGTACAGCCTGTAAATATGTTATAGGGGACCTGGGAATTTGGTGACCCACACAGAATATAGACTTTGGGATGTAGATCTTTAATGTCACAGTTGCTACTCACCATCCAGCTTCTAGTGGGAGGGAAGTGGAAAGTTCTGCCAAGGGATTGGAGAACAATGGGGCTAATTCAATACCAGGGAGGCCGACACTCAAAGCATTCTACCCTGAGGGAACATACAGCTAGCAGCTTCATAAATAGGACAGGACAGTGGGAGTGTGTTCAGGAGACACGCTAGAGCTACTCTACAGGATTTCTCATGGTTCTCTCCTTGCTACCTAAAAGACCAAGATCTTGATGACCGACTATCAGAAGCCATCAAAAGTTGTCAGAGGAGGGTGGGAAAAATATATATATTTCCCACTTTGGGCAAACCAAAAAGGCTGATGAGGTTTTATGTGAAGAAAGGAGGGCTGAGAGCATAAGGGTTTCACATGGCCCTGAGGTTAGATGTACAAGAGAGTGAAAAGGGCAGGATTGGGGTGGGAAGGAGATTTACACTATAAGAAATTTGTTATCAAGATGGTGAGGAGAGGATTATTAGGGAGACAAAAAAGAGAAGAGAAAGGAGAGCACTGTGAGAAAGACAGGGAGAGGGAAGGTGAAAGACAATTTCAGTTTAAAAAGGTGATCACAGATGAAAATGAGGGAGGACACCATGAGACTGGGATACTGGACAGGGTGTAAAGGGAAAGGATTTTAGGATGGAAGGATGGATTCACGTTGGGATGGAAAGGGCTCATTTCACTGAAGCTGGGCATATCAGAAAGTCTCTAGGTGAAAGTTCCAGGGAATTGGATATGGCTAAGGATGGCACAAGTGGGGAGAGGAGGTAGAACATTGAGACTAAAAGCAGGAAGGGATCATAGGAAGAAAGACTGGGATAGAGTCTTAATATATATGGACACATGGATTTCTGGGGGTAAGAGACCTACCAGGATGAAGATTGGGGATAAAGCATCAGTGAGCTTGGAGACACTTCTGGGTGAGATCAGGGGGTGAGGGCTGGGAACTCCAAGGACCTATAGCTGAGCAAAGGATGTGGAGAGGTGTTCATGTTAATTAGGTTCAGGACATGCTACCCCAAAATATGGCAATTTGAGAAAATGTCTCACCTTCTCCTGGCTTTCCCTCCTGAAGCAAGTCATAAGAGCCTCATGTGATAGGTGTTTTCCCTAAACCCAAAGGACTGTCCTGTTTTTGAAGGCACAGGGTCACAGAGAAGAACTTGAACAAACAGGGCTTTCTGTTTCCCTGGTTTGTTACCATTAGATCACACTCTTTCTCCACAACTTCCCACCTTTCATCAAAGGAAGCACAAAAATACACAGGTTTAACTTTTTCTTTGGGTATGCATTTCCTTATTGAAGGTCCCGAGCCATGTAAAAAAGTTATATTAAATAAACTTGTATGCTTTTCTCTTGTTAATCTTTTGTTATAGAGGCCTTAGTCATGAACCTAAAAGACATTTTCCCTTCCACATAAGGTACAAGGGTTTTAGGGCAAAAGGGGCCAAAAGCCATGAACAATAGGAGGAGAAAGTCACCAAACTAGGGAGCAAAGGGTAATAGAAACCCTAGAGGACTCGGAATGAGTTGATGTTGAGTTTAAGAACTATAGATAAGAGAGCTCTATAATGGTGTAAATGGGTTTTTTGAAGACTGGGTTTAAATCCCCATTCTGCTATTAGTGGTATGAGTTTCAGGTGTATTTCTTTAAAACCAAATCCCCCCCAAAAAGGAAAAGGGACAGGAAATGGTGAATATAATAATAATTACCTACTGGGCTTATTGATAGGTATATTTAACTTTTATACATACAAAGATTGTTAACAGTAGGTGCTCAATAAGCCAATTACTATTAAGGAAATACAAGGGTTAAAAAAAACAGTAGTGAGAGGGACTTAGCAGAGATGAGAAGAGGATGGGGATTCCAAGATGTCAGGAGTAGTGCAAGGTATAGATTACATGGTCATTGCTGAACCCTTAGCACCCAGGACAGAGTAAGACCTATGGGTGCTCCTCAGTAAAAACAAGAACTTGGGCTGGGGATATAGCTCAGTTGGTAGAGTGCTTGCCTCACATGCACAGGGCCATGCGTTCAATCCCCAGCACCACAAAAAAACAAGAACTTAAACATAAAGGTTACCCATGTGAAAGGCATGGTGCCAAGTGCATGTGTCGCTCAGTCACTACTATCACTTAGTAGAAGTGGACACTAAAGATTCAGACTAACTAAATGGTATGCCAAAAGTTCCATAGCTTAACTCCAGTTAGACCAGAAGCTAGATTTATGACATCAATGCCCCAAGCTGAAGCTCTCAGCTATACTGCTTTGTAAATAAGTCAACTAATTGGCCCTAATCAAGAGGAATGAGTATGGGCAATTAAGAGTGTACAGGGTCATGGGAACAAGGGGGAAGATTCATAAAGCAAGTGGACCATGGGGTGAGCTTATAAGACCAAGCTTCTAGGGTACAGAAATGATTGCAAACAATTATCTTCACTGAGAACTGCAGAATTACACAGTTGGAAGGAAACTCTGAGATCATCTAGCCCAACCTCATTACAATACTGAGGCCCAGAGGGAAGAAGGGACTTCTCCCAGGTTCCCAAAGCACAGCAGTGGCAGAATGGGGACTTGAACCAAGTCCACACACTCAATCCAGAATTTTCTGATGCCTCCAATTATTGCTACTTCATATTCAGCTCTATATTCTCCTCAACACAACTGTGCTGGGACACTTGTAGGTCATGTGCTGATTGACACTGGAGGGCTGAGGGCGCAGAGAGGGTTGCCAGCAGGGTGATTTTAGGACGAAAGGAGAGCATGTAACTGAGAATCACGGGGTAACAGGGCAGACTGAAGGTTACATAGATGAGTGGGTGGGAAATTATTGGTGTATGATTTTACAAGTGGTTACAGTGGTTTGAGAGGAGTCACTAAGTTTGTAGGGGAACACAGGGCAGTCTGGGGAAGGTTGGGGGTCACCAAGGAGGGATGTGGGGATCTTGGGGCCCTGTGAGTTACTGGGTTGGTGGGTCTCTGAGAAGTACTGAGGTTAGCACTATATGAATAAGAATGAAGGATCACCTGGTCAGGTTTGGGGTCAGTGGGTGGGGTGTGGGGGTCACAGAGGTGGGAGGCGGGCACTGTCACTGGGTGGGGTTTGGGAGTCATGGGGGAGGAGTCGCAGGTGGGAATGGAGGGGCAGGGACCCTAGGTGGAGGAGGGGCCAGACCGCCGTCCAGTGGCCCGGCCGCCGGGTTAGGGCCCGAGGAGGGTGGGCACGACGGGCTCGGGATCTTCCCAGGGCCCTGCGCCCGCCCAGCCTCCCACCTTGGTCATGGTGGACCCAGTCTCCCCACAGCCACCAACCTGACAGCCCCCGAGGGCGACTCCGCCGACAGACCGCCATGCACCGGGCCCCGCCACCAGCGCCGGCCCCGCAACCCGCCTGCGCCATAGCCCGCCCGCCCGCGCGCGGCTTGCCTCGCGCGATATCCAGGTTCCAGGGCCGCCGCACTTTCCTCCGCTCTCGGCGCGCCTTTACCGGGCCCCGGAACCCGTATAGAAAATACAGGGCACGCTCCACCCCGCCCCCCCTCCGCCGCGGTGGCCGTCTACTTATCCCGGTTCCGGGGCCCCTGGAGCCCCGGCAACCCGGCTCCGAACCGAGGCCCTCGGAGCCCCGCCCGCACCGGCTGGGGTGACGCAGGCCTGCGGAGCCGAGCGCCCGGGGAGGGCGTGGTGACGTCACCACGCCGGGTCAGGGCCCCGGCGAGGCTCGGAGCCCACGGTCGCTATAGCAATCGGGACTGCTACCTGGCCGCTCTAGGGCTCAGTCTACCTGAGGCCTGAGGCTGGAGCCGGGAGGGAGGCCTGGAGGGCTTCCCGCTCTCACGTCTCACGCGGCGTGCGGGCAAGAAGGTGCGCGTCTGGAGTCGGTGGCGGCTAACGGCGGGCAGGTTGTAAGGGGGGTTCCCGCGGGTCCACCGCCGGCACGGGGCTGCCTCCAGGCCGCGGCGGCGCGCCCTCAGCAAGAACCGCGCCCTACGGTCCTGGGGCGCTTGACGTGCGCAGTCCGCAGGCATTGCTTACTGAACCTTGGAGCCAACCCCCTAAAGGAACCAACTGCAGGTATTAATAGATTGTTATCGAAAAGGACGACTTTGAGTGGTAAGGCATCTCCTTAGGCACCGTGCCTCGATGGCCCTCGGGTTGTCGCACTCCCATTCCTGGGTCAACTCCGCTCCCAGCCTCAACACCAGCTGCACCCCTGGTAGGCTTGCAGTGGGGTGAACAGAACCCAGCCCCTTTTGCTCTTTTGCCCTCCAAGCAAGGAGGGGATGCGAATGGGGCATTTTCGGAAACCTGAGGGAAAATGAAATGGAAGCGAGCTTTCCGTAAAGCGAGTAAGTGAATAAGGGGGGAGCCGGCGCCGTGGCGCACACCTGCAATCCTAGCTACTTGTAGGCTGAGGCTGGAGGATCGCAAGTTCGAGGCCAACCTTAGCAACTTAGCGAGACCTTGTCTCAAAATAGAAAATAGGACTGGAGATGTAGTACCCAGGGAGATAGAGCACCCAGGGTTCAACCCCCAAAACCAAAACAAAAACAACACAGGGGATTAAAGAACTGGTAGCTTGCCTCTTCAGAGTAACTGGGAGCCTGGAGGAATTATACATGTAGAGAATATATATCTATATCTCCTCAGGCTCTAAATGTTTTTTTTGTTGCTTTTTTTTTTTTTTTAAACAGGACTGGGATTTGAACACAAGTGGCTCTACCAATAACCTACATTCCCAGACCTTTTATTTTTTTTGCCCCGAGACAGGGACAGGATGCTGAAGCTGGCCTCGAATTTGCGATCCTCCTGCCTCAGCCTACCAAGTCATTAGAATTTCAGTAGGGCATGGTAAAAATAATTTTAAGTAAGTAAATTTGAAACATTTACAAAATATTGGGCTTGGGGCTTCTTAACAGTTAAAGATGCTTGGGGAAGGGGCACAGAGGTCCTGTTTAAACTTCCTCTTCTGTCTGAAGAACTTAACTGAAAAGCCTTCCCCTGTTCCTATCTTGTTTGTTTTGGCACAGCATTTCCAGAGGCAGAACTGGGACTAGAATTTTCACCATTTTCATGTCAGTGAGTGACAACTGATGGGCCATTTCTATGGTTAATAATTAATCCTTTGTAGATTTCCTAGTATATAAAGAAAGAAATAGCCTGACCACTATGATGTCCTCTTTCTGTTCCTTTTTGTTGGAGGTTTGAGAAGTGATTTTTCATAATACAGAGAGTATATAAGTAGCTCCTTTTCCAGCTTGGATTGTTGAGTAGAAATACAACGGGAATAGAACTAGAATGTATCCAAGTTTGTCCCCCACCACCTTTTTCCATATTAAAAATACATCTGTCCTTTGTTAGATTCCTTGTAGAGCCTAATCTCTTGGCTGATTACCTCTCCCATCATATATTTAACAAAAAACAGGATCTTCCCAGGGCCCTGCCTGAAGTAATGATTCTAATAATGAGAAATTTCAGGTCCTGAAGGGAACTGGCGAGGAAGATATTTTGGAGAAGAGTACTGAATATCATTTCTAGCAGTTCTGTTCCCCTAGCCACCGACAACATAGAGGGCTAGTGTTCCTCAGAGATTTAAAAAAAATAGTTGGGCATGGTGGTGCACATCTGTAGAGAGCTCCTGGGTTCCACAAAAAACAATAACAACAAGAAAAAAATTCTCTAGCAGAAATTTTGTATGGTTCCATTCTCATATTCCTCCTTCATTTCCCATAATTACTGTATTACTAAACTATATAAATAATTAAAATTTTTATTGAGGATACACCTCTTAATGAGAAATTTAGTGTTTCTACCCAAGTAGCTCAGGTATCATGGATGAATATTATTCAATGATAGGAAGATATAAGGTAAGACATCAATTCTCTCTCTCTCTCTTTTTTTAATAGACTTAGTGTTGAGAAACCTTGTTCACAAAATTGGAAAATAAAGAGATTTGTTACAATGATATTCCTCAAGTCTTTGAACTTCTAAATTATATGCCAACAATCACAATGAGATCTATTATCAAATATTGTCAAAAATATTCCTTTAATTTTATTAAAAGCAAAGAATTGGAAACCACTGATCTTGCAAAAGGATTTATTATCTAGTTATTAGAATCTCAGTTTTAGTTTATTAAAAATCATTTTATCTGTTAACCTTTTCACTCGGATGAATGTTGTTAAACATTTATCCAAACATTTATCCATTTAAACAACAACAACAAAAAGACAAAAACAATAACAACAAAATACCTGCCATTTGTGTAATTGGCAAAACCAATCTTCATTTTAAATTGGTCAATCAAATTAGACTTACTGTCTATCAAGAAAACATCTGACTTATCCATACTCCTTTTTCAATACATATTTTTTGATAAAATTCTTTTATCATTACATGTTTTCAGAATCTTTCTGTTAAAATTTCTGTAGTGCAGATTCAGCTCCTTCTGTATAAAAAAACATCTCAGCTGGGCGCAGTGGCTCAGGACACTGAGAAAGGAGGATCACAAGTTCAAAGCCAGCTTCAGCAAATTAGTGAAGTCCTAAGCAACTTAGGAAGGCCCTATCTCAAAATGAAAAATAAAGTGGTCTGGGGATGTGGCTCAGTTTTTAAGCACCCTTGGGTTCAATCCCTGGCATCAAAAAAAGACACAAAACAACAACAAAACACCTGCCATTTGTGTAATTGGCAAAACCAGTCTTCATTTCAAATCAGTCAATCAAATTAGATTTACTGTCTGTCAGGAAAACATCTGACTTTATTCTTTAATTTGAATAAATGTGTTTATAATTATTTTGAATAGTATTATAAAATTACTGGGAAATTATTAACTATTGCTTATAAAATAGGTTGCTCAAAATAGTCAATATTAAATTTATAGAGAGCTAATATTAACAAAAATGGTAAAAACAAAACAGCACTGTTTCTCATTATATCATTTGGAATAATGCCATATAATATACAGCTATATCCATCAGTTTTGAGAAATGAGATATATCCCTTGGGTAAATGGGTGGGTCTGCTTGTGTCAAACTCTGATGTTCAACTTTTGGGAATAATGAATTAATCATGTCTAAAAACCAGAAATAACTGCAGTAATTTTATGAGACTTCATGATCGAACTTTTTCTTATGTGTTTAAAAAAAGATTTGCTAAGAATTAATGGACTGAGAAGCTAGCAAACAATTTCATTCTTTGGTAGTAGGAGATAGAATATAGTAAACATTTTGTAAGATGAAGCTGGGTGTGGTGATGCATGCCTGTGAGCCCAGCAGCTCAGGAAGCTGAGGCAGGAGGATTTGGAATTCAAAGCTAGCCTCAGAAACTTAGCAAGGCCCTCAGCACCTCAGTGAGACCCTGTCTCAAAATACAGGGGGCTGGGGTGTGGCTCAGAGGTAGAGTGCTCGCCTAGCATGCGTGAGGCACTGGGTTTGATCCTCAGCACCACATAAATATAAAATAAAGATATTGTGTCCACCTATAACTAAAAAAAAAATTTAATTGAAAAAATAAATAAATACAAAAAAGGGCTGTGGATATGGCTCAGTGTTTGAGTGCCCCAAGTTTCCATCCCCAGTACCCCCAAAAAAAAGATGAAATAGAGGAGGCCTGATTGTAATGAGAATATTTTAGTAGGAAGGGGAAAACAACCCCTTCCTCCGAACTCTCCAGTTTTTACACCCTGGACCATGTATTCACTGGAGGCGAGGGGTATGCTTTTGCAGAGTGGAATAAGGACTATGGTGAAAACGTGTGCATGAATACGGTGACTGGCTCTCACGTTGGTTTTAGGAAAGATTTCATATGAAAGTTAAGATTTCACATGAAAATTTATTCCCTAAAAATTTTCCTCAGACTGATTTCCTTGCGCAGATATCACTTGTAAAGTCTTCGCATACCCTTGGAAAGAATTCCTGTCTTCATGTACCCCACTTTAAAATCTTATCAGTATAGGCCGACCCATACTCCAATGGCTATACCTTATTCTGGAGCACCAGTGCAAGTGTCCCAGGAAGTAAGAAGGAAGGCCTGGTGTTATTGAAGTAGGTTTATGGAGACATCAAAGAGGATGGCTCCAGGAGGGTACAGTGTGATGATCAGCTTTCAGTGAAAAATGTGATTTTGTCATTTCATACAAAGATTTTGTCACACTAAATCAGACTCATAGAAGGTTAACATTATAAATTAGAATGCCAGTGCATTTATACTCACAGCCACCAAGTGGACTAGATCCTTTCCTATTTTGGAAATCTATGTGGGAATGTAAGTTAGAAAATTACATGAGTGTGGCTACTATTATCAAGCTATGGTAGTTATACACTCACTGTTTGGCATATAATAGTAGCTCAGCAATTGTGAAATGAACTCCCAGGCTGGCCTCAAACTTGCAATTTTCCTGCCTCAGCCTCCCAAATAGCTGGGATTACAGGTGTGTGCCACCATACCCAGCTTCAGCAAGTCCTACTCTTAAATGGCTATATAATGTAAATATTAAATCCAGTAAAATTTCATGTTATGGAGTTGTATATTTGCATTAATTTTACGTATTATTTCTAAGCTAGAAAATAAGATTGTTCATGTATAAAAAATTGGAGATTGCTTTCCCATGCCCTGTAGGAGTAGTGATGATGGAATGGCTAAATAATCTGTATTTCAAAATTCCCTTTGGTGGCCAGAGTGTATTGTTGAACGAGGCACAGTGCCCCACACCTGTAATCCTAGAGACTCAGGAAGCTGAGGCAGGAGGATCACAGATTTAAGACCAATCTCACGCAGCAACTTAGTGAAGCCATCTCAAAGAAAAAAAAAAAAGACTAGGGATATATAGCACAGTGGTAAAGCACCCTTGGGTTCAATCCTCAGTACCAAAAGCTTACCAAACAAACAAAAATAGACAATAACAAAACCACTGTTGAATGATGTTCTGTGCTAGAGGTGAGCTATCCTAACTAGGAGAGAGTCTGAGCCACCTGTGGCCTGGACAGCTTTTGTGGATTATATTGTGGTGAGAAGGAACAGTAGTCTAAAATTTCCCTCACTCCCTATATTCCCCCTCAGGAGATAACTGGTTT